CGTAAAGATTTTTAAATGTGGGGTGTGTGTCGTTGATGAATTTTTTTAAGAAATACGACTGCAATATGGAAAAAAAGCTGCAGGAAGTATTAAAGAAGGGTAAATCAACCATCACTTTCCACAATGGCTATGGACAGAATATTGCAAAGTAGGTAGCTTCATCTATGCATAAAATCGTTTGCCAAGAATGAAGCAGAAATTTAAAAAAAAGGAAAAAAACGAAGCTCACTTTTTCGAAAATTTGTAGAAATAGATCTGTAGAAATAGAAATCTAATAAAAGAAGAGAATAGGATATGTGAAGGATTTGAAAAAGATAGAAAGGGATGAAATGACGTAGGCGCTGTCATTTCCGCAAAAGGTAAAGCGAAAATCTCGAGAGGAGTGTTTGAGGAAGAATAGATATGCTTTTGACGGTGCAAACCGCGTGATTACTAATATTCAAGTATTATTGGAGTTTTGCTGGAAAAACCCACTTTTTCTCAGTTATTTCTGATGTCATATGTGTATAGCTTTATATGATCTTTGAAGATATACAATTATAGTGCGATTATGCTCTCTATTTTACGCTATTCTTGAAGATCAAAATCTCACAACCACTCTATGATTTAATTGCATAACATTTTACATAGACAATTTTAGGTTCCCCAAAACGGAATTTTCAAACATTACTTCAACTGACCAAGTAAAGATTGCCCTGGAGTCTTGGTATAATCCTGTGCTGTACTACGGTCTTAAAAATGCCAAGAATACATACAACGATGCTCGCCTTTATACCTTTGCCAACGTGAGTCCAACTACAAACGAAAGACACTAAAATCGAAGACAATCAACTTATACTTAAGATGGTTTTTGCAAAAACATTACGATTTGGATGTGGATATCATAAAACTGCAGAAGATGTTATTATATCCTGTATCTACAACCTCATGTACGTTTACGGAATTTCTTTAGCTAATCTTTTCTAGCTAATCCTCTCACAATCTTCCATTCTCACTATGGACGGAGTG